TATAACATAATGTTTTAATGAGAAATCATTACCAATATCAATTAATTTATAAAAATTGTATTAGTGTACATTTGGATACCATATTTGAAAATATAAATTTATTCTACAACTATTTTTTTAATATAACTTAATTGTATCCATATTATTTTAACTAGAGTTGAATTTTTTTTATTATAAACGTACAACTTTACAAATAAATTATTTTACAATTTTTTTAGAAATCCAAACCGTTTATACAAAATAAATCAAAACAAAAAATTAATGTTTGAATTTCGAAAAATCATAAGTTTCACTTTTTATTATTTTTTTGGGTTTTTAAAAAAATTATTTTTACATACTAACGCGATATTTTTTTTGGGTTTGTTGAGTTCAAATAAGTTTGAGAAAACTCATAATCTTAACGTATTTGAGTTATACAAAAAATGCTTATATGCAAGTTATGCAAATTAAAGTTTGTGTGATAAAATATATTTATCAATATGGAAAGATGTCAATTTGATATTTATTATTTCTAATTTTTTCAATCTATTAAAAAATTCAAAATTTTTTTTTTAAATATATTAATTCCGCGTTTGACGCGAGACAAAAATTTTAGTTATGTATTGTTTACAAAACTAAGAATTACTCTTGTTAGAGTACTTGTTTTTTGGGTGAATTTGTGGGATAACCCAATTAAAATTTATAATTTAAAAAGTAACAAATTGGGTAGAGAGATATAGGAAGAAATAGAGAGAGAAAAATGTGAATTTTGGTTAGTTTTTAGGAGTGTTCTAAAAAACGTTCTAGGCGTTCGTCTAGGCGACGCTTAGGCGCTAGGCCTCTATAGACCGTGGCGATTACCGCTTGATATATTATGGTATTATGATAATAAAATAATATAAATTTTCTTATATATAAATCGTAAAATTTTATATATTTGACTATAAAATGATGAATATAAATACAATATAAATTTTATTAGTTATAAACTATGGTTTTTATATATTTTATTATATATATCTAATATATTATGTATTTTTGTCAGTGTTCTAAAATACGCTCCAAGCGCCCGCATATACGGCGTCCAGGCGCTATACGGTGGTTGGCCGTACTGTATTTATGCTATACGTATTTTTAAATGAAAAAAAATTATCTTTTTATATATGATAACTAAATGATCAAATATACAGTTTTAAAACGTATATTTTCCAAATATTTCAAATCAAACTATGTTTTTGACCTCTTTCCAAAATTATAATTAATATAATTCTATTTTTTGTTATTTGAAATAATTTTCAACTATGTTATTTTTCTATTTGAATTAAAACTACCAAGTTAATGTTAATTACTTAAGTTTTTTTTATAGAATTCATGATAATATTTTTTCTATTACCTATTAAAACAAAATATTTTTGTATATATATGCATAAATATGCAAAAATATCTACCGTATATACCCCGCATAAATGTCCGCGTATACGCTATACGGTGGTCTACCGCCCGACTAGCGTATAGCCTATTTTAGAACACTGATTTTTGTAAAACGTTTAAACCGCCTATTAAATCGTCTAGGTTCTGATTAGGTGTTTTAGGTTTTTAGATTAGTTTTTTTTTGGTGTTATTGGTGCTAATTTAGCTTTTTTTTCCCTTGAGATTTGTTTCTTCTTTCCA